CAGAGTCCTTGCTCAGAGCAGCACAAATTATCTGAGAAAAACGCCAGCGCTCACACACACAGAAAGCAGGACTCCTGTGTATATACATATATGTGTGTGTGTGTGTGTGTGTGTGTGTGTTTGGTGGGCCACTACTAACATCACTAGAGCTGAATGAAGAGTCTTGACTCCTCTCCAGTTCTCTTGACCTACATCTGAATCACTACACACAAACACAGCAGCTTATCACCGAACTGATGCTCTCACTGCAGATTCGCTCAGTATTAGGGTTGGGTACCGAACTCTGTACTTTTAAGGGTACCGACCGAATTGTGTCGGTACTACCGAGTACCGTTTCACGTTAAATCAATCGGTGCCAAATTTCGGTACCTGAGAACGCCTCTGGGCGCATAGCATACGCTACAGAGAGAGAAAGAGAGACCCTGTGACGTGAGGTCACCCCTGACACTCGTTCAGACAACACACAGGGCGAGCCGAAATCTTCTTCTTCTTTGGAATTTTTTGCCGTATTCTGCACCATAGGCACATACCGCCACCAACTGTTTCTAATCATACATGGATGATAGTCCCGCCTCTATTCATATTTTATTTATTTATTTTTTAATTTGTTAATTTTATTTCGGGCTCACCCAAGCTGTATTTCTGGCTGCTGCGTGTTGCCATATGGTTTCTGTGAAAATGCGGACGGGATCGCGGAGTCCATTCATAAAAACGTAATTTACTCTATCGCGCGGAATGCCACGGAATTAATCAATTTTGGACGAATAAATCAAAAGTAGGTCTGCCACTTAATTCGAATCACGATATGAACTAGTGTCTGTGAATATTAAAATGCAAAAAGACGGTTTAAATATGAATCCTGCATGTTCCGCTTGCCCCTGTATGTATGAATGGCGGAAACGCGGTTTTGTTTACTACACAAATATATTTCTGATAAAGACTGACTGAATGGATGTAATCACACATCTAATTACTAAACAAGTAAATGTATGGATATATATGAACAATACATTGATTTGTATCTCAGGTATTTTGTTATGAGAGCAGAAAGGGAGTGTGGAGAGAGATATGAAAGACTGACCACTGAATGCCAAGATTGACCAGTTTAGAATCAAGTATTTCAGTGCAACATATAACAGGTATCATATATATACAGTGGGGCAAATAAGTATTTGATACACTGCTGATTTTTCAAGTTTTCCCACTTACAAAGAATGGAGAGATCTGTAATTTTCATCGTAGTTACACCTCAACTGTGAGAGACAGAATCAAAAAAAAAATCCAGAAAATCACATTGTATGATTTTTAAATAATTAATTTCCATTTTATTGCATGAAATAAGTATTTGATCACCTACCAACCAGCAAGAATTCTAGCTCTCACAGACGAAAGGGAGTGTGGAGAGAGATATGAAAGACTGACCACTGAATGCCAAGATTGACCAGTTTAGAATCAAGTATTTCAGAGCAACATATAATAACAGGTATTATATATATATATATACAGATAGACATAGATAAATATAGATATATATATAGATAGATAAACCTTAATGTCTTATACACACACACACATACACACACACACACACTCACACTCACACACACACACACACTCACACACACACAC